AACTGAAGAAAAAATTCAAGCCTCAAGTTACAATATTTAAGGATTCTGGTGTAGTGCTGTGGGCTAATAGTCAAACTGCAAAATTATTTGAACTGCAAGGTTGGTGGTTCAAGCTTACCAGCTGCTCCTTGGAAACCCTATACAGGGTCGCTATGGGTTGGTATTGACTTAACAGCCTTAATAACAACAACAATGGTCAATATGGAGTCCTGGTGTGATGTTGTGGGTTAAAGCACTGGACTTCAGAGTCAGTTTGAACCTCAAGGTCGGCAGTTCAAGCTCACCAACTACTCCTTGGAAACCCTATACAGGGTTGCTATGGGTCAGAACCAACTCAATAGCACTTAACAACAACACCAATGGTCAAAATATTGAATGATGTAGAAAGCATCAGAAGAAGATGGAAGGAATACATAGAGTCACCATACCAAAAAGAAATGGCTGATGGTTAAGAGCCTATGATACTGAAGAAAGAAGTCCAAACTTCACTGAAGGCATTGGTGAAAAAATAAGGGTCCATTAATTGGCGGTATACAAATTGAAATCTTCAACAAAGTGATGCAACCCTAGAGGAGCTCACTCATTTATTCCAAGGCATTTGGAAGACAGCTACTTGGCCAGCTGATTGGAAGAGATCCATATGATCTCTTCCAGCCAATTGGAAGAGATCCAAATACCCATTCCAAAGAAAGGTAATCTAACAGAATGCGGAGATCATCAGACAGTATCATTGATATCATATGCAAGTAAAATTTTGCTGGCAATAATTTAAAAATAGCTGCAACAGTACATCAACAGGAACTCAAACCAGATTCAGAAGAGGACATGGAATAAGGGATATCATTGCTGATATCAGATGGATCTTGGCTGAAACCAGAGAATACTAGAAAGATGTTTATTTGTGCTTTATTGACTACAAAGGCTTTTGACAATGTGGATCATGACAGGCTATGGATAATATTGTTAAGAATGGGTATTCTAAAACATTTAATTGTGAGAAGCAGTGTTCAAACAGAACAAGAGAATAATAAATGGTTTGAAATCAGGAAAGGTGGGCACCAGGTTTGTATTCTTTCACCATACTTATTCAGTCTGTATGCTGAGCAAATAATCTGAGAAACTGGATTATATGGAGAGAAAAAAAAAAAAAAGTGACATCAGGATTGGAGGAAGATACATTAACAGCCTGTAAAGTGCAGATGATGCAACTCGTTTGCTGAAAGCAAAAAGGGCTTAAAATACTTACTGGTGAAAATCAAAGACTGTAGCATTCAGTGTGGATGGCACCTCAATGTAAAGAAAACAAAAATCCCCACCACTGGACAATAAATTACATCATGATAAATGGAGAAAATATTGACGTTATCAGAGACTTCCTTTTGCTTAAATCCACTATTGACACTCATGGAAGGCACAGTCAAGAAATCAAATGACATATTGCACTAGGCAGATCTGCTTCACAAGACTTCTTTAAAATGTTCAAGAACAAAATATCAGTTTGAGAAATAAGGTTCACCTGAGCCAAGCTGTGGTATTTTCAGTAACCTCATATGCTTATGAAATTTGGACAATGAATAAGGTAGGCTGCAGAACTGATGCATTTAAAGTATGGTGTTGAAGAAGAGTATTGAAAGTATCATGGACTGCCAGAACAAACAAGTTTGTGTTGGAAGAAGTACAACCAGAATGTTCTTTAAAAGCCAGATGGTTAGATTTCATGCGTTATACTTTGGACATTTTATCAGCAGGAAGCAGTCCTTATAGAAGGACATTATGCTTGGTAAAGTGGGTGATGAGTGAAAAAGAGAAAGACCCCCAGTGAGATGGATTGGCACAGTGCTAGCAGCAATGGGCTGAAGTGTAGCAACATCTGTGAGGATAGCTCAGGACCATGCAGTGTTTTGTTCTGTTGTGCATAGGGTCACAAGAGAGTTGGCACCTAACAACAACAACAGGTCATATAATCTCATCTAAATAATATTCTAGAAAATGAAAACTAATCTATAGTGAAAAAAACAAACAGATGAGTGCTTGCCTGGAAACCTAGGATGTGGTCACTATCTTGATTGTGGTGGTATTTTAATTGATGTGTACTTATATTTAACAAATTGTACCCTTTAAATATGTTTAGTCTATTGTAAGTCACTTATACTTCAATAAAGCTGGTATGGCACTGTAGGATGTGCACTGGACTGGTAACATGTAAAAGCCCCCCAGCCACTCTTAGGAAACCCTATACAGTGTCATTATGAGTAGGAACTGATCCATCAACACTTCACAACAACAACAAAGCTGTTCATTTGTTTCTTAATGCAACAAAATACTTATGGTATATACAAATAAGAATAATATGATAGTGCCCTGAAGGGTCTGAAGTTGGTTCTGAAGTGTTGAAATGTTATTTCTTCATATGGATAAATAGTTCATTGGTATGATGACTTTGAGAAAATTAATCATTTTATATATTTATTATTTTCTTTATGTGTATTATACTTCAATTAAAAATTTAAAAATTAACCATGGAGGGTATCAGATTAATCTAGAATTACATGTAGTACAGTTGCATTAGTCGAGGTAAGATAACTGATAGAACAAACAACCTCAGAATCTCAGCAACAACACAATAAAAATTTATTTCTTGTTATGCAACAGTCCAATGAAGGGTGTTAAGGAGCGAGTCACTTACTAAGTACTTACTGTATTTTAGATATTAGCTCCCTATCACATTCATAGGCTTTTTTTGTTATCCTACTGTATTTACTGCCTAGAGCCTGTGGCGAACTATAGGACTTCCTTGACCTCCAAGGAGAGGGAAAAGCTATATTAAGAGATCTTGCTTGGATGAAATATTAATTTAATTCTATTTTTTATTTATAGATTTTCCTGGTTTTGGGCATAATATGTTTTGCCCTAGCGATTGGACATAGCATTTGGGAAAACAAGAAAGGCCACTACTTCCAAATTTTTCTGCCACGGCAAAAATATGTTCCTTCATCATTTGTGTCTGCCGTCCTCGTATTCTGGTCCTACATCATTATTCTCAACACTGTAGTACCCATTTCCCTCTATGTCAGGTAGGTTTCTTTGGTCACACTGGGTTATGGAAAGAGGCACTGACTTCACGTTATTGTTACATGCCATCAAGTCAGTTTTAACTCATAGTGACCTTGTATAGGGTTTCCAAGGAGCAGCTGGTGGGTTTAAACTGCCAACCTTAGTAGTCCAGTGCTTATCCTAGAGTGTCACAGTAGGATTTATTTCCACAACTAGATGAACTTTTAGAACGCATAAACTACCATGTACTCTTTAACCCTTTACCTTCTTCAGTGCCTGTATATACAGCGTACTCCTGAGAGTTATATAGAGACTGCATAAACACTTTCCTTGTCCAGAGTACTGTGCTAAGTGTTATTGCTGTTATTAGGTGTTAATGTAGTTGGTTTCAACTCAAAGCAACCCTGTGTATAACACAACAAAACATGGCCTGGTCCTGCACATCTTCCTAATCGTTGCCATGTTTTAAGTTCATTGTTCCAGCCACTGGGTCAACCCATGACTTTGTAGTTATCCTCTTTTATGCTGATACTTTCCTAACCATGATGTCCTTCTCTAGGGATTTGTTCCTCCTAGTAACATCTCCAAAGTATGTGAAACAAAGTCTCACTATTCTTGCTTCTAAGAGCATTCTGGCTCTTCTAAGACAAATTTGTTCATTCTTCTGGCAGTCCATGGTATATTCAGTATTCTTCACCAACACCATAATTCATAATTGTCCAGCTTTCACATGCAAATGAGGTGATTTAATATACCATAGCTTGGATCAAACGCACCTTAGTCCTCAAAGTAACATCCTTCCTCTTTCACACTTTTAAGAGGTCTTTTGCATCAAATTTACTAGTGCAATATGTTGTTGGATTTCTTGACTGCTGCTTTCATGGGTGTTGGTTGTGTATCCAAGTAAAATGAAGTCCTTCATAACTTTAATCTTTTCTCATCTATCATGTTGTTTCTTGCTGGTCCAACTATGAGAATTTTTGTCATCTTTATGCTGAGGTGTGTAGTAGTTAGGTTTTGTGTCAGGATTCTCAGTGGTTTGACAGTTGAGATGTATCTATCCCCCATGATACGATTTGATATGATAAACCAATAAGAGGATTAAGGGTGGGATGGTGTTGTTGTTAAGTGCCATCTAATCAGTTCCAACTCATAGTGACCCTGTATAGGGTTTTCAGGGAGTGACTGTTGGGTTTGAACCACCAGCCTTGTGGTTAGCAGTCCAGTGCTTGTGCTATAGAACTCTACCTTTAATCCCATCACCACACTGATACACAAGGGTGTGGCCTGCAACACCTTTTATTTTATAAGAGATAGAAGAAGAGAGATTTGAGCAGAGAAAGAGAGACCTCCTACCACCAAGATAAAAGAGTTGGGAGTTGGATACATCCATTGGACATGGGTCTCAGCACTATGAGGCTCCTAGATTCAGGGGAAGATTGATGCCAAGATGTATAAAGATCTCCAAAGAACAATGGGCTTACAGATGCTGAAAGGAGACAAGGACCTTTCTCCAGAGCCAACAAAGAGAGAGCCTTCCCCAGGAGCTGGCACTCTAGACTTCTAGCCTCCTAAACTGTGACAGGATAAACTTCAGATTCTTAAAGCCATATA